CTTCTGGACTGCAAGCTCGCACGTTTTTTTGTTTGTTCGCATAGATGACTTGTGATTACGAAAACGCACCTTGAATTCAGTGGAAGTAGAACCCACGTATTGTAAATTGCATTTCTTGCACGAGGCCAAGTAAACAACATTTCTGGAAGAGCAAGACAAGTTTTGGCAAATCTTATATGTTCGGCCTGTGGAAAAACTCTTAAATTTGGAATCTTGAATTAAAAAATTCTTGCAAAGGTCGCATCTAGAAGAGCATTTAAAACACCCTCCCGTTTCCTTCTCTGCCTGACTAACTTTCCCAGCCACAAAAACTCTAGAAGGCGCCCACACCCATATAAAAATAGAAATATGGTGCACCTTTGTTGGCCTGAGAGTTCCATTAACGACTCTAGATATAGAAATATATATCCAAGTTAAATATATAATAAAAACGCAAAAATATCACCTAGCTCCCTACCCCTATTCCCAATCCTGAACCTCCCCTGAAACCGTACCAGCCCTAGTCACCTAACACTTTAGCCCTTACCCGAAGCCTAATTACCAATTCATAACCCTACCCCTACAATTGTATACTAATACACTTATTACACTTACAGCCAAGCGTAGTTATGCGAGATAGGTAAAGTCTGTTTACGAGCCTAGTGGCGCATTAGGCCGGTGCTTAACTCCGGTTTCTGGAGCATGAAGCGACTAGGAGTATTTCTACGCCCCTCTGGATGGGATGCCAGTCCATCGCAGGGTTACCCCCAGCATTGAATTGCCGGTACCCATTTTTACACCTGGGTGAAGAGAGGCACTGTGAGAGTAAAGTGTCTTGCCCAAGAACAACAACAATGTCCTAACCGGGGCTCGAACCCGGACCACTCGATCCGGAGTCGAGCGCTCTAACCACTAGGCCACCGCGCCTCCACAGTTATGCGAGGTAGGCCAGACTTAAATTCTGATAGAGTGGTTGCCGATTTAACTGAAGATGGTAACTAGTTCCAAGAATGAGAGATAATATATGAAAATGAGCTATGAATATGGCTAGAGGCATTTACAGGTTGGGAAACATTAAGAGCAGAGGAGCGAAAATTGTTATGACAGACTCAGGGTGTAAAAAAAAAATTAGAACTATACGACGCTATCTGTAGCTTGTATGCCTTAAAAAACATGATTAAAGACGGAGTAAAACGTCTTTGGGTTAATGTGTCCATACTATCTGTTACGGTGGTCGTGGAATGCGTCGATTACGGCGGTGAATGTGTCGGCAATGTAACGTAACCAAAGCGGTATCGTTTTGTGGACAAGACGGAAAAAGCTAGAGTGTGTGCTTTCCAGTTGTAATAACCTTTTCTTTGCTCAGGGGCACAGCGAATTTTCTTTGCTAATTTTGCATATGTCTTTCATATGCACAGGTCATACAATTGCAACATTGGAAGAAAAAACACTCAAGTAAAACAACTGACAGCATTACCGGTATGCCCCGTAAATTTATTCCCATCAATGGTATAATTAGATTGGAGGCATTACATTGGCTGGGATTCTATGATTTTTGAGAGGAAATAAGAAAGTACTAAAATTTCCATCTTTCACAACAGGAGCCATTCCAAACAAATTTAAACCGGAGCACAGAACAGATGAAATTGTTATCTTGGTGTTTGGTTAAGATTAAAGATGACACTGATGTTTGCCAACTGAGGATTTTCACTTTGAAGATTAGTTATCCACGATCTCAGCAAATCTTCACTGGCATTAGCATGGCTCATGCAAACTGCAACAATTTGGCCTACAAGAAAAAAGAAAAAAATTTTTTTAATGAAATGAGTGGATAAGGCTGGACCACATCTCCAAGTAAGACATTCACCAGTTCTGATTATCCCACAGTTCTACTTCAAACACTTCCCTAAAATACCAAATTTTCTTCATAGCCACCAGCAATTTCTATTTCCCCTTAAACTCCCAGAGGTTATTAACATGTAACATCTCCCTATAATATCCATACATTATCCAGCAAACAGGCAAAGAGAATGCTTAAACTTATCACGGAGAAGTTATCTTGATCCAACACCAAATTCTGAAAGTAATTAACAAGGAAATGTGTAGCAGCTAGAGGAGAGAATTAACAATCAATGATCTTGGGAATAAGAAGGTCAAGTAAAACAAGTAGATCATGCCTCCTTGAAACACACTCCCATGTTCTGTTCATTCTAAAGTTCTAGCTCATCAGACAATCTTTTCAAAATGAAAAAGCAAACATTCCCTAGAATACCAAATTTTGCTTCAAAGCCAACAGCAATGTCTGTTCACATTATTTTTAAATTTTTTTCCTCCAGTGACTGACCACTTGCAATATAACATAATCTAATATTAATAACAACCAATCAATACTATCCTTAAATTAAACCAGAGCTCCACAAGGTAGACACATTTTGACAAAAAGTTAAACAAAATTGCTGGTTCAGTATTCTTTGCTCACCTTCACCATTCTCTTCATCAAACTCTGCATCAGTTCTCAGTGTCAAGAAGTATCTTTGAAGGCGACGGACCCAAATGAAGAAAGGTCCCTCAACATACATTGGTTTGTGTGAGTTATAACCTTCTAAAATGTTCTTCTGTTGCTCTGTCTGAGCACCAACTAAGAATTCTTGGCCTTCACCATCAGCATTATCCTAAAAATAGTCAGGGACAGTAATTAACACACAAATAGCAATTTTTCTTGCTGGTGCATAACTTCTCTTGGTTCTAACTAACCGCCTCCTGGTTAGCTCAATGGATAGAGCACCGGACTGTTGTGCGGGAGGTCGAGGGTTCGAGCCCCGGCCGGACCAACACTCAGGGTCTTAAAATAATTGAGAAGAATTTGCTACCTTTCTATAACATCAAGAAATGGTTAGATATTCTAGTCTTCTCGGATAGGGACGAATAAATGGAGGTCCCGTCTCCTGCAGGGTTGGGGTAGGAGACGTTAATTTCCCACACACGAGATTACTGTGTGATGGATGTCCTCCCCTGGGGTGGGATGGGTGGTAGGGTGGACTAGCATGAATGGTTCCTATGTTCCTTTCTAGTCCTTCCCCACTGCAAAAATTAATGCAGTGAAAATGGAGTAAATTAATTTAAATTAACTAAAGGTCTATTGTTTTGCTCTTACAAGTACAATAAAAGCACCATCCCGTGTCTCTTATAAATAGAGCAAGGTGTGATAATTTATGGATTTTAGTTTAACTGTACGAAATAAAAGAATGTAGTGGAACACAAAATCTAAAAATTCCAGGTTTTTAATAACAGCCTAAGTAACAGACAATGTCCAGTCAAATAAAGGTTTTGTCCAGTCAATTCCTTAGATTGCCAGAGAATTTATCCAGTTGTCTGTGCATGTTAAGAGGAATTAATTCCAGGCTCAGTTCAGGTTTTAAATACTGCTGTATCATGTTTGAGGCTGTGGGAAGAAAAAGTGTTACAGTGGCAAATATCCTTGTTTTATAAAGGGGAGGGGGAGAGATTTATTGTTATATAATGTAATGGATATTTTCTTGGCCAAAATTTGGGGTTTGTCTGAGGAAAAATAGGTTTGACCAGGCCATTCTTAGTTTGAGAAAAAATAATACAACCATCACTATGGGTTTGGAATGTAGCATAAGTTACAATGGATTCTTATGTTCTGAGCTTGCACCATCCATAGATTACAACAATTTGCTGATTGTGTGTCAGACTCTATTGTCATGATTTTATCATTTTACAAACTTCTCAATTCATTTGTTACAAGAATGGTTTGAAGGCAACATTGCTATCCATAACAGTGGCGGATCCAAGGGGAGGGTCCTGGGGGTCTTGACCCCCCTATCAGACCTGACGCTTACAACTTTGAGACTGAAATTCTTACATCTGCATGATCATATATCACTTTTGAACTGGCTGAATTTTTAAATTAATGAATCCAAGTAAAAGGTAAGCAGCTAAGGAATTATAACGTGCAACTGCGACTGGTGGGAGGGGGTGTGGGGGAGAAGTAATTTGTCTCAAAAGAGTCCAACAGTCCTTTCTGAACCAAAGTTTGGACCCCCCCCAATCAAAAATTCCTGGATCTGCTCCTGCATAAGAGGAATGACAGCAGTGAAGTACAAGGGAATTGTGGCAAACTTAATTGTATGTTACAATTGGCAACTGCGACGACAATGTGGAAATGTTGCTATTTGGGCACCACCATTCTTGTGAAAGATACTAATAAGTTAATTCCTGTGTGGTGCCTTTGACCAATCCTATAAGGCAAATGAACAACATTTCCTGTTGTTTTCTGAAATAATTTTACCTCAAATGAATGAATAGGGACCTTAAGAAACCACAACGGCGATGGCAACGAGGACATGGAAAAACAA